TCAGGCTCACATTTGAAAAACATTCCTAAAGGATGAAGTGAGCTAAGAGTGTTGGTTGCAGCCTAACAAAAAGTAAGCTAAATAATCTACAACATCATAAATATTCTTAAGTCCATCTGAACTGAGGTTTCAGTGTAAGTATGCAGCTTAAAGTAACTATGGCATCTGAGGAAGATGGACTTTCACTGGATGTCAATGAGTGAGGGTGTAATGCAGTACAGTCTAGGAAGAGGGGAAAATAGGGCACCAACAGAAAGCATAGGCCACTGAAAAAAGAAGGCAGCACCCCTCTGTACAGTATGTTCACAAATAAAATAAAATAAAATAAAAAGAAGGCAGCAAACTGCCAACTTGAGAGCACAGAAGATTCACTTTGGGGAGAGGGGAAAATACAATCTCTAGCAGGCACTGATAGTTCATACCTATACTCAAGGAAGCTGAGATCTGAGGATCACAGTTGGAAGCCCAGGTAGAAATGTCTGCGAAACTCTTATTTCCAATTAACCAGCAAAAAGCCAGAAGTGGAGCTGTGGCTCAAATGGTAGAGTACTAACCTTGAGCAAAAAATGCTAAGGGATAGCCAGCCGTGAGTTCAAGCCCCAGAACACACACACACACACACACACACACACACACACACACACACACACACACACACACACACACACACACCCCTCCTCTCTCAGGATACTTGAGAGGCTGTTATAGATAATCCAATCTTCATATTCTGCAATCTAGATGTTATAAGTAATGTTATGTTATTTGAATTTATCAAATACTTGATTTGATTACTTCAAGTACAAATACTAATTACCTTTCTATCATAAAAAATGTAAATACCAGAAACAGGAGAAGGCTTCCTGATCCCTTACTCTTCCAAATACAAAACCATTTCCCTCAAATCAAGCACAAAAAAGAAGCTATCATGCAAACATTTCAAAAAAATGATATTTTAAAGTAACAAAATAAGATGCTTGTTAATAACATAAGAGAAAATGGGGGCTGGGAACGTGGCTCAGTGGTAGAGTGCTTGACTACCATGCATGAAGCCCTGGGTTCTATTCCACAGTACCACATACACATACACCGAAGAAGCCAGAAGTGGAGCTGTGGCTCAAATGGTAGAGCTAGCCTTGAGCAAAAGAAGCTCAGGGACAGAGCTCAGGCCCTGAGATCAAGCCCCAGGACTGGTCAAGAGACAGAGAGACAGAGAGAGAGAGAGAGAGAGAGAGAGAGAGAGAGAGAGAGAGAGAGAGAACATGAGGAAGAAAATGGTCCCATTTAAGAAACAACTTAAAAGCTGCTTTGGGGAAGCCCATGAATTAACTAAAAGCAGGATAAAACCTGGGTACCCAGTCCCCAACTTTGCATTTCTGCCCTTTGATCTAAGCCATTCTCTCTGCAATCTCTTTGCAATCACCTCCAAGAAGAACAGGATTTACCACAGATTGAAGCAATTTGTGACTAGCAAAGCCTATCTTCTTATCATCTGTGGCAAATGGTAACGCAGAGCAGTCAAAAGCTCAGGGTAGACCCCCTGCTGTAGCAATGAATGACTTGTTTCTGCTCCCTTCAACTTCTGAATCCCACCTGGGCAATTGTGAGACAGTGGACTGTGGGACCACCTAAAGCCACTTCTGACTACCTCTAAACATACCTGTGGCTTTGCTTGGGACTACTTTAATAATGCATACCCTCTGCCCATAATGAAAAATTCTCCCTATTTAACACAAGTGTCTCTATCACTCAAGACAGGTGAAGATGTCTGAAGATGGTCTGAGTGCTATCTTCTTTGGCTGCCATGTAACACCTCCTTTTTGTGATATTCACCAGGTCTCTATCTGGCATACAGGGCTAAGCAGTCTAAAAACCTGGTTTCACTATTAGGTACATCTGCCCCACTATCTTTTCTCAAAAGACCTGGAAGTGTGGTGGTATCACAAACTTGCCTTGTTCTGATGGCTCATTCAGTTCTGAATGGGTGACTCAATACCTCTAGCTCACTCTCACTGTCCTGACTTCCAGTGGAATAACCAGTTACTAATAAGACAGACAAGAACACAGACCTTGCTTAGTAGTGCTGGAGAAGTATTGTAGAGCTTATGCGCACACTAAATAATAATTACAAGAAACCATCCAGGCAAAGCTCCACAGGTCAGCAGGTCCAGGCAAAGACAAACATATCTTCCTCTCCCAAGCTTTACTTCTTGCAGAATTCTGAACAGGAGAAAATCACTTTTATAAGCTATGTGATCAATTCATTTCCTAATTGAAACCTGGTATTACTTCAGCTAAGCAAGTCACTGAAGAGAGTCTCAGAACCTCTTCATGGCACCTCCGCTTTGGTCTGACATCTATACCAGTCTGGGATCAGGATTATGGCACTCTCATGTAGGCCTTAAAGGCCTACATAATCTTAAGGAAAGCACATGAGCAGTGTAATATAGGAAATTACTGGGCATGTGCATTTTACACACTCAACTACATTTAATTCTCACAACTCCCCATCAGATAGGTCCCCATTTTATACAGGAGACAACAAAGCCTTCCAGAAGCTAAATATTGCATCTACAGTCACACCACCTACAAAAAAAAAAAAAAGCTATAAGAGTAAATTATTTCAAGGCACATTATTTTATTACTAAATATCAGAATGCTATAAACTTTAGAAAATAGCTTTCTCAGTTACTTGATGTAACTGGTGAGGAAAGGAGTTGTTGGGAGGGGGAGAAAAATGGATGGGATGATTCTGATCAAGATATACTGCTCCCTTTGGAGCTGGGAAGGTGGCTCAGTGGTAGAGTGCTTGGCTTGCATGCATGAGGCCCTGGGTTCGATTCCTCAGCACCACATAAATGGAAAAAGCTGGAAGTGGCACTGTGGCTCAAGTAGTAGAGCACTAGCCTTGAGCTGAAGAGCTGAGGGACAGCGCCCAGGCCCAGAGTTCAGGCCCACGACCAGCAAAAAAAAAAGATATACTGCTCCCTTGTAAAACCATTTGAAGAGGGAAAAAAATAAATAATTGAAATTTTAAGAAAGAATTACTAAACTTAGCAGGGGGAAAAAAGCCAGTCTACCAAAGTCTTTGATATTTAAAAAAAAAAAAAGTTTAACTTCTTAAGGAAAAAAAGCACACCTTTATAAGATAATGACTGGTTCTTTATAAATGAGAAAGTTATTTTCTTTTTTCTTCTTTTTTTTTTCTTTTTTTTTTTTTGTCAGTTGTAGGGCTTAAACTCTAGACCTGGCCACTGTCCCTGAGCTCTTCAGCTCAAGGATAGCACTCTACCACTTGAGCCACAGCGCCACTTCCAGTTTTCTGGTGGTTTTATTGGAGATAAGAGTCTCATGGATTTTGCTTCCCAGGCTGGCTTTGAACAGCAATCCTCAGATCTCAGCCTCCTGAGTAGCTAGGATTACAGGCATGAGCCACTGGCGCCTGCTCAGAAAGCTATTTTCTAAAGTTGATATTTACTGAGCCTGAAGCTGCCCACTTGCTATTTTACTAACCTGCCCAGTTCCAACTGTTCAGGAAGTAATTTATGTTATGTAAACACTATGTTATGTTATGTGAAACACTACAGAAAAGTGTTGTCTTTGGAAATATACTGGTTGAGCACAGTGAAAACTGAGGCATTCTTCTTTCCACATCAAAAGTGTGGCAAAAGGGATAGAAAAATAATTCCAAAATCTTCCCCATCAGACACAAATACTTTACTGAAGGAAATAAGCACCGCAAAGAGCTGAATAGCAACAGAACATTCCCCTCAGACTCCAGAGTCAGAAAATAACAAGAGATTTCCTTCTCACAGGAATACAATACCAAAGCTGCATGAACCAGAAGCCCCTCACTGAAGACTTGAACTTGTTAAAGCACATTCCTATCCGTGACCTTGCAAATCTTTTTCCTCTAGCTAGAATGCTATTTCTTTAGTCCTTTCAAGGCTGGCTTCTTGCCCTCCATCATCAGTTTTCTTTTTTCCTTCTTCTTCTTCTTTGCCAGTCTTGGGGCTTGAACTCAGGCCCTGGGTACTGTCCCTGAGCTTCTTTTGCTCAAGGATAACACTCTCCACTTGAGTCACAGCACCACTTCTGGCTTTTTCTGTTTATATGATACTGAGGAATCAAACCCAGGGCTTCATACATGCTAGCAAGCACTCTACCACTAAGCCACGTTTCCAGCCCTCACCAATTTTCACTCTAAACGTCCTTAGTAAAGCGCCTCCATGCCGGGCGCTGGTGGCTCACGCCTGTAATCCTAGCTACTCAGGAGGCTGAGATCTGAGGATCGCGGTTCAAAGCCAGCCCGGGCAGGGCAAGAGAGACCGTGAGACTCTTATCTCCAATAAAACCACCAGAAAACCGGAAGTGGCGCTGCAGCTCAAGTGGTAGAGCGCTCGCCTTGAGCTGAAGA